TGGTTCCTTTTTTTAAAGGGTGAAGAAGAAATGGAGCAAGTAAGCGGGCGAATCACGCACCATGCTCATTTTAGCAATGGAAGAAAGAACAATTGGCTTTATCGTGCGCTGGTGTGCGCATGTTAGCAACTACTAGGAGTAGGGGGAGAGGAGATAGTGGGAGGGTGTGTGGGATTTTATGTGAAGGGATAGGGATATCTACTCTCTAGTAGTAAAATTGTAATGGCCAGCAAAATGATTCTTCAAGTGAATTTTTGCTTAACTTTCTTTTTACCTCCCATTCTCATATAATTTTTTTTTTTCATTGGAAGATATTGATTAAACATCCAATATTTTACATGAACCCGATTATACAGGAGACAAGAACTCGATATCCGAGTGACAAAACCTCAATTTCCGGAGAACAAAGATCCAATTTCTAGAAAACTAGCTAACTAAAACACAGAGATACATGACATACAAAGACTAAGCCAAATCGAAAGTAGATCCGTAAAATAACAGAGATTGAACCGGAGATCCATGAGATCAGATCGAAACACAATCCTTTTAAGAATAAGACAGATCTGGGACTAGACGAATCACCCAAGCATATACAGATTCAATACCCTTTTTGCCAAAAAAAATAATATGGATGAGTCGCTACCAAACCCTCATATATTGCTCTGACGTAGCGGAGCCAACCGAGGCGACACAGGCGAACAAATACCCTGAGACAAATCTTGTCCCTTGAACAGATTGTAAGGAGAAAGTAAACAACGATGGTGAAGACTCCAAATCCGAGGCGGGAGAGGACCAGTTCTAACATCTGCGTCTGCCAAAAGAGGAAACCGGCCAGATCTGAGGCAAAAACTGAGAAAAAAAGCACACTACGGAGCAATAGCTCAGGATGAGAGGATTGGGACAAACTTCATATGAAAATCCAAAAAACAAACAGATCCAAAACTCGCTAAAAGACAGGTGTGCAACAACATGAGCCTATAAACCGAGTCAAACCACCATAAACCTCATCACTTTACCGGATATGTTCTCGCCATCTACTGATTCGCCGGATTTCGCCGACGAAGTCAAATGGAGGAAACCTATCGTCAAAAGAAAATACGGCAAAAACACAGTGGATTGAAGACAAGAGATTAAAAACGAAATCAAAGCAAAGCAAAGACTATAACTCCGGCGCTAGGAGAGCCGTCAGAGCTGTAGATCTGAAAAATTCTTCTTGTGTTTAAGAGAGAAAAAGAGAGCGATATTTTTAGAAAGAGAAGATCTTCCAATTTTCCGAATATCCAGTCTCATATAATCACATAACTAATTATACATTGTTGCATTGATTTATTTTGTGTTTTATAGAGTGCTGTTATTTATGTACAAAATCTCGCAACCACTTTCATTTTGTGGATTTCATCTTCGTTTGATGATCGGTTCATTATATTGAAAAAGCCAATAATCGTAATGACTAGTAATATATATCATCACTAGATTTTTTTGTGTATTTTATCATATTAGTACGATGTTAAAATATATTTCTATTAGATTCTACGTTTTGAAATTTTTGTTATTCATACACGACTGACAGTGAAAATATCTTAGAATGAGTAAAAGAAAAAAAAAAGCATTTAGTTATATAAATAATCATTTTTAAAGACTTTTTCGTGTTCTATCATTTTCTCCACAAATTCGATATCATAATATATTTCGTTCAAAACCATTTTAGTGATATAGGAAATCAAAGTTGAAATGAAGTGTTCAGTTGCTATGATTATAGTTGTCGATTTAATATTGTAGGGTTTAGACCATAGATAATTTGGATTGTAATAATGAATTTAATATTGTAGGGCTTCTGAAAAAATTACTGGTGGTGTTGAATTTAAAACTTTATTCCGTTATCACAATGAATTTGCGGATAGTCAGCTTTAATAAAAATATGATTTCATTTGCCAATATAAAGTTAAAACATATTGGACTTTATAACTTGTCCATACATATTCTCACAATATGATTAAAATTACATCTCCTTTTATTTCCCTTTTTGTATTGTCAACAAAAATCCAATGTCTTTTTCATACTCACTCATTTTGTCTTGTTTACCATAATAATCCTTAGACAAAGGAAATAACCCATTGCATAATTTATGTTTTGGCCTATGTTATTTTTGGTGCGGGTCCATTATATAACCAAAATCACATAAACAGTTATCATATATTTGTGTTAAAAATTATGATCACCTTTAAATTGAATATTGGTATTATGTTTGTTGAGTTTATAACATTTAGGGTATCTTAAACCTAACACCAAATCCTACACCAAATATATATTTTGGTGCTAAAGTCTCTCCAACCCAACACCATTTCCAACACCAAAATAATGTAAACTTATTTTCTACACCATAAAAAATGGGTTTACACCATTTTGGTGTTAAACTTTTTTATTTATAAATAGTCTTTTAAAATTTAATCAACTTTAAAATTAATGAAAAATATATACAAATTGTGATGGTTAAACCCAAAATTTAATATGTTTGGTAATAATTAAACAAAAAATTAATATATTTTGTT